TCCTTAGCTTTTGGTCAAAAGCGTCGACGGCGGTATTTCATAATTTATTCGTCTTTAGTTGAAGTTGCGCATTTGTCTCTTATTTTGATTTCTCTGTTATAACTTGTGTGTTACCATCAAGGAGTTTAATTTCTAAGGCACAAATAAATTAAGACAATTAAAGGTGCTTTTGTCCGGGATATGGTGCACTTTTTTCCCTTCTTAATGGGCTCGTTAATAACAAGTATGAGGCTCTAGTCGGGAGTTCCCGACACCAAGCTCGCGCTACGAGCTCTTTTATTTACAGTAATAATGAGAAAAAAGGGTTAATACCGCTGCAGACTCAACCCGTATCTAAATAGCACACTAAAGAAAGTATTGGGGTTTTGATATCAATGTTCATCTAGTCTGCGACAAGTCTTATGGAATAGCGGAAATTGCTCTACACGATGAGAAGACATGCTCGTCAACATGTTGTTAAGGCCTTGATAATGCGGAAGGTTCAATGCTGATCGTCCAATGCGGGATACCCCTGTAAATTGGAGAATCAAGCCAAGAGGGCTTGGATAAGGGAAGAAACTTTTGGGGCTGCGTTCGTTCTAATCACCAAGCACGTCGATATCTCTTGAAACGATTGCAGTGCCCAATTGCATGTCGGATTCGCATTAGAGGCGATGGGAACGTGTGAAGTTCCACTGAGGATAAGTATTGAGGGGCCACATCAATATATTTGGGCAGGGTGATTGACTGGGTAGGAGGAGTAGCTAACGCCACCCAGCAAAGAACCCTGACGTCCTCACGTTCTACAAATTGATTGCATGGTCCATGGAAGGGCAGTTTTATGTCCAATGTGTTGGCTTTGGTGCTTCAGATGCTGAGAGAGGTTTATTTGTCGTTGGATGCTGTGTTGACGTATTGAATCCAAATACGGGCCATTCGCCTTGCAAACAGGTATTACCACTGAATCGTCACCTGATACGGTGGCAGGAAAGATGAACTAACAAATAGCTTTTTTATTTGGATTCCTCTTGTGCTTAGGCTAAGCACTTGACTTTTGATCGTAATTGGATCAAAGTCAATTAAATGAAAGCTACCTTGGTTTCTGTCGCATCCGTTGTTGTTGATGATTGATCTCTTAGTAGCACTGTCAGGAGTGCCTGGGCCTGGGAGAGGGGTAGTTAGTACTAGTATTGACAGCTCACAATTTGACTTTTTGTGCTAACCGATCAATTTTCCGTCTTCTATATAAATCACACAGCTTCTAGGTCACCTAATCTGTCATGTAGCTTCTCGTATAGTATATACATAGAAAATATTTTTTATATATGAGTCTAAAGTTCTTAGACAATAATTTGCGCTATGCCTGATTTTCAGTTGTGGTAGAGGCAGACTTCACGAGACCAGCAGCAGAGTGCACAGCTGTATTCGTAAACTTAGAAAACGAATGATGTGCATGTCTAAGTCCACACGGCATAGAAACACATTAGCTAAAGGTTTTGCACGCTTAATGCACTTCCTGTACACGTGCGTCCATCACTGAAGTCCTGCCGGCACTCAAAATTTAATGTGAAGCCCGCGACCCCAACACGGTTCCCGCGAGACCAGATGGAGGGTGAACTCATTTCGTGCCACAAGATTCATGTTTGCTTAACGCCTAACGTGTTGTTTCTTCTCAGCATTTTCGTAAGCTATTAAGGCAAATTTCATACAAATATATGATACGTGTAATATGCATGTTTTGCATTGCATCGTAATTGCATTGCTGTTGATAGAATTTAAAGAGAACGCGCAGCATTGTGTGTACATGTATACAGAAATTCTTAGAATTCTAGCTTCTAGCTACCGCAAGCACGTGTTTCTTAACCGATCTTAATGAAATTTTCTACAGTATATCTTTTTGTTCCATAGAATATTTGAGTATTCTCAACTCAACTCAAACTCATCTTTACCTATCAGATTAGTTTTGACAAAGACAAAGCCCTTTTTGGAAACTCTATTTCTCCATTCATTTCCATGGATCTATATAAAACACACACACACATTCAAATTTTTGCCAAAATGAAAGTTCTCTCGGCGGAAAGTGCAAATTCGTAAGCACACGAAACATATTTTGTCATGAAGCTAAAATGTTTAGTTCTTTGAGGGCGCAACACACATAAATATATTATGCAGTAGACTTGGCACCCCCACATACATACATATGTAGAATGTGATGTGTGCTCAACGCCGCAATTACAGTGACACTCACGGATGGGAATTAAATATTCTCTCTAAAAAAGGGTAAGCCACATGCAAAGTAGTATTTCGGATAAATAAATAATGTACAGTGACTTATAATAACAGTCAATGATGCTTGAATAACCAAGCATTAGAGTGTCCTGCAATACCTGTAAGAAATAATTCCAGACAGCTATACAAATTTATATACACATGGCTATTTTTAAACTGAGTGAAACAAAATTACCATCATTAATATGTAAATAATTATATGCAAAACTAAGTAATAATGCTCTAGTCGGGTCTAGTGGCCAACTAAGGAATACACTGAGCATTCTTCAACCATCGCCAAATGCTACTCGAGATAGTTGGTTGATGAGGGAAAATGAAAGATACTCGATCTGTATCTACTGTTCTAGAAGTTATATGTAGAATGTAGTGGCTCTAATCATAAAAACCTAATAGATTTGCTAAAAAACAAAAAAGAGTTCTTATAGCTTCTTGGATCGACGCTGTCATACATACGGACAAACGGGAGAACGGGCAGACAGGCGGAAAGACAATAGGGCAAATGAGTTTGAGACCGATCGGTTGGTAAACAAAAATATTTCGTACAAACGTTTTTCGCAAATGTTCTACACATGCAAGTGGAATTACCCAAAACCCCGTCTTAACGTGCACCTTCATCACATAAGGTAACTACTGTGAAAATTTGAGCTCTTACGGCGTGGACTGTGCGTTGACCACCAATCAGTCAGTCAGACAGTCAGGTCAAACAGTTTTATATGTGGAGATATTCCGAGTATACTTTTTGTTTTGGCAGTCGGCCAAAGACATCCTTGCAGCAGCAGGAAAATACTCGCAACTGACCAGCCAACATACGTAATACATAATTTCTCTCCATAAGCCATAAGGATAGCCAAATTTCACAAAGTATTAGCAATAGTTCCATGTCAAAGGCAGGCAGACAGAAATGCGAGCGTTCAAGAATTTGCTGTTGGCAAATTATTCGAATTGGGCAAGGGCAAACAATGCTGTCGGGGACGCACGCTTTTCGAGTTCATTGCCTTCCTTTCGGCCGTATCTTTCACTCCGTTCAACAAAAGCAACCGTGGCACTCTGTTGGCCAAAAATTCCTGGATACTTGCAAACAGTGGTTTATCCTCAGTCAGTGACTGGAATTTCCCTGCTGCCATATTGCGCTGAACAAAACTAATATTCACAAATATTTTTGCTGTATCTAACATTTTTTGCAAATTTATTTTGATTTAGCTTACAGAAGACTAGCACCCGATGTCCCGATAATTAAACCAATGCGGTGACATTTGAAACTAGGGCCGAGCTTCATTCAGCCTGAAACTGGATAACGATCCAGTGTTCCTAATTATATATATCTTCAAACCTATCCCAGATATTTTATGCACATATAGTGACTACTCGCCGTCAAGTAGAGTACCCACATGTTAATTATGCCCCAACTTCAATTAGGTAATTGGATCCTTTCCAATGCGGCTTGAGGATAATTACGTTTAACCAATTGTTATTTCTTTTACAAGGAAGGCACCATTCATTTGAGCGGTATCGCATAGATCTTTAAAAACTTTCCACCCGCAACCATGGAAATTTAAATGAATTTGGAAATGGGTTTAATAAACGAAAATTTAATCTTCTCACCACAAGTCTAACAAGGGCGAAATCCATTGAGTTCAACTTTTGGTTCTTTATACGATGGACTTTAAGCATTTTTACATACATTTTTGGGACGAGCAAGGCCGGGCTATACTTACTAGTGTTTGTTTATACATACAATTAAGGTTTTATACACGTTATGTTGTATAAATATAAGTTTTATTTTCCCATTGCACGCATGTATGTATATCTCAGATAATCTGAGATGCTTATACTGAAGTACAAATAAAAGTGATATATGGCCGTAACGTGACCTGGCATTTGTAAGAGCTGTTCCCACTTTGGATATCCTCGTTTCAACAGCAGCTGTGTCTTGAGTTTAAACTCTGCCAGGATATTTGGAGTGGGGTCTTCAATTGCGTACGTGTTAGAGCCTGTCAACGAATCATGGCAATCATAATGTTAGCCCTTTATACAATGAAGAAGGGAGTTTTTGTTTTGACATTTTGCAATAATTATGTCATGAATTTATTTGAACGCTTATGCTGAGCAATCGATTAGTGTAGCTTTTGAAAAGAGGCGGAGGCAATTAATGCCGTCAGTTGCGAGTTTGAACCCTGCCAAGGAAACTTTTTTTTTTTTTAGTTTATCTTTATCACTACAAAGGCATCGCTCTTTTTATCTCGCTCTCACTACAGGAAACTGTTGTTAGTCTCAGTGCTCTTTCATTATGTCTTGGAATCGTTTAAATGATCTGCCCGTACACCCACATTTGTCTGTGTGTGTGTGTGTGGAGGTCGAAATTCAGAAACGACAAAACTAAATAAATAAATAATAAATGTTATACCTTCTATATTTGCCTTGAATTTCATTTTTGAAGAATCTAGAGTGAAATATTTTTCATATGCTACCGAAAAGTTTAATGACAAATGTTTTGTCATTATTAATAACCAAATTAATGTTTGTTAAACTATTAAAAGACTGGGTCATTACAACATCCCATATAGTTTGATGCATACTGATAAGCGTTGAACAGTTGATTGAGCACTGTTATCAACATAACAAAAATAAGTTCCTATAAATGTAAGTAGCTCTTTCAGTTTGAGAGTCACTGTACAATGCTAATATTCAAATAGCTCCCAAACACAATTATATATTTTATTTACACAGTATTTTTACTATAATAACATAATAATATAATATACATATAATGTATGAATTTAGAGTTTTTACACAATCGAATGTGTTTTCAAATACATTCGTACAGATATAAAATCTAACTAAATTCTAAAAAAACTCACAATCGTCAATTCTTCAGAACAGGCAATGCCATATTGTTGTGGTTGCACTACCTAGCTTTACTTATGTTAATCTTTGGGCAACTTACGAGCTGGGCAAGTTGACAAAGTTTTCAGTACAGCTTTCCATCAAATAAAGGAGACATCACCGGGCCGTTGGCGCCAATAAATGGCATCGATTGATTTCAAAGCAAATGATTTGCGTTGAACAAACTATGAGCCGAATGCGAATCGAGTACTTGGGCGCTCTACGATGATGCAGGGGTGCCATAAAGTAAATTGTCCAATTTCAATTTGTTTATCTTATCAGCAGTGGGTGCCCCGTGCCCGGGACGTCCCCAGAACGTTTCGAATGTTTCGAAATGCTGATTACACAGGTCCCGGTCCATCTGCTTGGAGACGCTGACCGAGCGCCGTTTCTGGGATATTTGCACATTTAAATCGTGCAGGTAGCGCATATCGGCGGCCGTTTGTATCCTGCAAGGAATCGCCCCATTGGGTGGTTGGTTATGCAGTCAAGGTCGATGTTGGCCAATGGCGATGGGCAGCAACGAGGTTGGTTAAATTGTTGATTGTTGCATTGATAAGTCGTTTGTTTTAAGTGTTTGTTTTGGTATCGATTCGGTTTTGGTTTCGTTTTTGCAAACGGATTTTGCACGGGGATACATAGAAGATTTGTATTATGATTTTGATATTGTTGGTTGTTCAATTTGTTTGGTGAGTTTGGGCCTGCTTTTTGGTTGCTATACTTTCACTTGGATTACAATTGATATTTTCGTGCTGTATGAGCCAAAAGAATTGATAGAGAAACCATTAAAAAAAGCACAAAGATGAAGCAATCGTCGCAAATTATTTTCAATTGCTATGCATTTTGTAAGCTCAACTCAGATTTGGTATTTGCGCCGCGCAAGCAAATGAGAAACAGCTTCAGTATGGGTTAGCATAATGCGAACAGAGAAACGAATACGGATGCAAGTGCAACACACAGATAACGAATCGGAATTAGAAACAGAGTCGGATACAAAGACAACAACGAAACACAGATAGACAGTTTGAAATGGACTTCGATTATCGTATGTGCACTGTCAGGCGCTTGAGGCAACACCCGGCCGCCCGAAGCGGCGTTATGGTTGGGGTGCAGCCGCAATCGCAGCACTGCAACTTGCAGTTCGAATTCTTGGAAGGCCGCTTTATGTGACTAATGATATTGCTGATGTTCTGCTCTTTGTTGGACTTTGTCTTGTGCTTGGGTGGTGCGTACCTATCATGCGAGGGTATCCTCTTCGTTACGTCCGTGCTAGATAGACTGATGGGCCGGTTTAAGCCTCGCCTGCGCGCCAGCAGAGGCACCAGCTCAACGCCTGCCCCATTCTCCATACTGGCATCCGGTGTGGCTGTACTGTTGCCAGTTTCGCCCGTACAGTGCCCTCGCTGCACCCGTGGGCATAGTTTCAAAGGCTTGCATTCTTTGGGCGGTGATCTTAGACCACATGCGGGCGCATGCGGCCCCGCAGCTGCAATCTTTCTAGACGACTTTAGTGGACTCAAGGTGTTCAGGGCGGGGCAAGTGCAGGTGCAAAGCTCACAACAGCGCTGGGGCTTGGACGGCTTGCTGCCTCGCGATTTGCGAAATGTGTTTTTCTCAGCGGGAGTTACGGGATTGTCCTGGTCGAGCTCCTTAAGCATTTCCTTGTTCGTCCAGCCCTGCAAACAATTTAACATGTGTGGTACTGTCTCAACTCGCTTTCAAAATGAACCTTACCATCGACTTCATAAAAGTGTTGCCTACTTCTTTGGGACTGCGCCAGGGCTTGCCACCAGGGCCGGCCTTGCCCCAGGGCTCTTTGCACAGCTGAAAGAGTGAAATTATTATGCATTAATAACGCTATGCCGCGTGGACAGTAGCTGCTGCTCACCGGCTTTTCCAGCTTTGTCTGTAGTTTCTTTTTCTGCGAGACTAGCTTTTCCTGCAGAGGATGGTCGCCCTCACTATTGACAACCGTCTTGTCGAGCGTCGGCTTGCTTTTGCACGGTGGGGGAGGCCTGTATCGTAACTCAATGTCCACATGCCCTTTATTGCGAAATGACATTGAGGGGTGCTCTTTCAGTTCGATGTGCACACTCTCACCATTCGCATTGTGGCCCAGCCTGACACCAGGCTTCACGGGATGCTCGCGCTCACAGATGGTGACAATGCTGCTCCGGGGTCCGCTGTCCCGCAGATGGTGAATTGAATGCGCGTGTGTCATTCGGCTGCCCGGCTGAGGTGGGTAAGCATGATGATGGTGATGGTTATGGTGACTCGCCAGCGGGCTTTTGTAGCAATTTTTCTGCATGGAGAAGTAATCATTGTAGCGGCAAGGCTGCAGCGAGTTAATGCGATGGGCGGTAGTCTGTAGCACAGAAATGGTAAGCAGTGTATAATCAAAGCCTACGCTGCACCAAACTTACAACTGTTGGCGTTGAGTGCAGACCGACAGCGGTAATATCCTTGCGGCGCACCTCCACGTTGGGAGCGCCCCCACCCGGCCGACCCCAGGGACAGTGCTGCAGAAACAAGTCGTAGTACTGCAAAAAATTAAGAGCCATTGGTAACAGTCAAATATGCCTAAAGTACCCAATTATGGTTTTCGCTTTATTGATTCCCTAGCAGCATATATTCGGCACCTGGCCCACTCTGTCTGTCTATCCATCCTTCTGTCTGTTTACGGAAATTGCCAATGCCCAACCTAATTTTTGTGCCTGCGACGACTGCTGCTCGCTATTTGTTTGTTTCGCTTGTTTGTAGGTTGTTGTTATAGCTGCGAGGTGGCTCGCTCTGTTTTTCATTCATTTTCTTCATCTTCTATTCCGTCGGAACTAAGTCACATTGGCACGCGAGCTGTTGCTAGTTAATTTTAATGAACGACTATGTTATTTCTGGTTGTGGGCTTCCCATTTTATTAAAAAGTAATGTCAAACTTGTCAAATCGTTTGTTGAACCAAATTCAAGCATTACATTTAGCTTGCCATAGGTCATTGAACTCGACCTATGTGCATGTTCTGGCGTGTTTGTAAGAATACAGGATACCAGGAAAAAGCGCCTTTGCACTTTATTTTTACTATACTCATTTACTGGCCCTATTTTGAAAAATCTTCACTAGAACTAGAGTTTACAGTCTTGACGAAAGTGAGTAAGAGCGCTCTAGTCGGGACTAGCCGACAAGAAAATACCTTGCACCTTCTACCAACCACACAAGCACGCACGGTCGGGCAGGCTTGAATTCAAAAAACTGTTTCACATCGCATCAGACCTTACAGCCGTACTAACATTCAGATTTTGAGCGAACATTATTTACTATAGGTTTGGATACTATAGTTCCTAAAAAGGTATCTGTTCAAAAGCAGGATGTGCAGGATATGAATTTTAATCGATTGCATGAAAACAGCGCAACTTTTCAATCATTTGAAACAAATTTGATCTGCGCTGGCAATGGGCAGACAGGCCTATGTAACTTCAAAATTTCAAGTCTCTTCCAGGTTCTAAAATCGATGTATTCAGACGTGGTAAGATTAACTAGGCTAACAATTCAGATCAGGAAGATATATATTACACCTAATTCTGCTCTTACACAGTTTCTTTGATTTATTAATTTTTTATACATATCTTTTGGGCTTTCCTTCCTGTTACATGCTTTTGTACAAAACCGATATACCCATCTTACCCATTTTAAGGCTTTTAAAAGTTTAGAAGGGTGAATAGTTAAAATAAATGAGTAGTACATGTCTACTCCTTCTGTACGTTCACATAATTTAAATTAAAATCACCGGTCAACACTTATCTTTGCAACAATTGTAGATATTTTTTTTAAACATAAGATTTAAGGTACAATCTGGTGTTTAATGACGTTAACTACAGCACCTAGGTCTATTTAAGTGTAATTAAAAATATAGTTAACTTGTTACTTTTAAATAGCATGCCTTTAGTCTGCGTTACAATGCTATGCCAAATATGAGCTTTCGGTAAAAATTATTAGACAGAGGGTTAGGCCACACAACGCATGCTGCAGGAGACCAAAAGCTTAAAATTGGATAAATAGATCATTTGATTAAAATCTAATTTATTTAATAATTCATAGCCATACTAATTCAGCTTTAATTTTTTTATCTTATTAATATTTTTAAATGTTAATAAATATGTTACTAAATACGAGCTCGCATCATATTTGAAGAATCAATTATTTGACAATTTACGATATTTACCTCCTGTTTGTCCTTCTCCTTGCGAGCACATTCCTCAGCCTTGCGACGTCGCCACATACGTAGACTCTCCTCGGCATTCTTGCGTTCGATTAGGCGCTTCTTATCATCGCACCACATCAGCGGGTGTTGGATGTGGTCGTGGCAGAAGGTACCCATCTCATCGCTAGTTGTCATCCTTGCGAGCAGCTGGAAAGCGGAAGTAGCTTCACGTTCGGCAAATCACGCTCTACTGAAACAGTTCCGTGCACAACCTAAGCCTTTCACATCACAGTCGAGTAGGTCGTCGATTTGGCTTCCTGATCCGTGCCTGGTACGGATATTGGTCGCAACTTTTAGCCTGCCAAATCAATTTGGTTGTCTAGGCAGCGTCGCTAGCCAGCTAGTTATTTATAGTCTAGGTTAAGTCGGTGCACAAGCTGCATGTGAGCGGCGCGCATGTCCTTGAAGTTGGCCAGGATTGCACATAGTTTGCATAACTCGCTCTGGCAATTTAAATATTTTGCCAGTTACGCACCCTGCCGCTGCCGCGTTTGTTTGTCTGTAATTCCGGGTCGTCTCGTTTGCTGAGCCCAGCGAGGATTGGACATAAAATAAACTTATTTTATAGTAAACTACGAGCGCTGTTGTTTTTAGTAAACTGTGGCACAGTTGCCCTAATTCTACCCGATTCGTGTGGTTTTCGCATTAAAATAGAAAGTTACCAAAACTCGTCAATATTGAATTGGGGCTTGGGGGTTTCCTACTGCAACACTTCAAGCAGCTGCTGTGAAATATTGCGTGTGGCACTCCGTAGTTAACTTTAACCCAATTAAGGAGCTTTTGCAAACTTGTTGATGTTTGTTAAGCTGGGCATAGCTGCGAGCTCGGAATGTGTCAGCTAAATGAGATTCACTTAAGTCTATCTGACCTCCATTACTCACAATGACTTGTTTGCTTAGTTAATTTTCACTATCAGTTTTTGTCAATAGCCTTTTCACTAAACTGCTTTATCAATCAGAATGTTTAAGGGTTTTTAATTTTTATTATATTTTTTATTGACATCATCGTCGGCATGTCTTACAAAATTGTATTTTATTCATGTTTCTCGTAATATAACTATAATTATCAAAACAAAGTCATTTATTATGACCAATTACCCGAGCACCCATGTGATTTTCTAGCTATCCAAATATAGCGATATATTAAAGTTGTTTCATTTTACACGTTTATAAAGGTGCCTTTGGCTTAACGAGACTACTTCGAAAACCGCACAAGGGACTGAAATCAGTTTAGGGCTGCACTATTAATTATTATTATTATTACAAATGGTTCTTAAATAAATTTACATCCATTAAACATTTAATTTAATTCGTTTTACAAAAATTGTTCTTTTGGTGTTGGACCAAAAATAAACCATGTTTGTTCATGTTTTTAAATTAAGACTGGGTAGCAATTTTTAAAGAGTAATTTTTCTTTTTTATTACCCAAAAGGTTTTAACTAGTAAAAATTGTTGATAATATAAAAATTTTGTGCATTTCATGCACGAGCGGTTCAAAACTCAAAAGTTTACAATAAAATAGATAAGAAAAATTTCAGAAGTTTGTGCTGGCTGAATTGGTGGCGAAGTGCATAAAGTGATGATTGAACCATTTAAGCATGAAATGTCGTAAAAAAAAATAAAATAAAAAACAATTATAATGGTATTGTCTTAACTCATTAAGCACTGCTTGTTTTTGCTTTGACTAATAACATAGGAGCCATTAAAATTTATCAAAAATCTCAAACTGTAAAAACTGATATTACTTTTAACTAAGCAAATTTACAAATTTTTCTATTTGCAAATCTTAGATTTCATCAGTTTTTACAACTTATTATTTATGTAATATTTGCTGTGCTTCACAAATAATCGTATGTGGTTTTTTAAAATACATATAGATTTTCAAAAACATTGCATATCAAGTTTAATAAAAATTCTTTTTGAATTGTTCATGTTTGTATATACAACGTACGTGAATCGTATTTCCGCCAGTTAATTTCTTACAAAATTTTGTTTACATTTTATGCAATTATTTACAGTGTCAACAACAATGCTTAAAAACTAAATAATAAATGTTGTCTTTACCATTTTCTAGTTTTCTTCCTACAAATTTTTGCTTGTTTCTCTCATTTGTTGACTTAACTAGCATTACGTGTTGCCTGCCTGCTTATAACTTAATTTCATATGTGTATATATTAATTTGTATATATTTTATCAATCCTATTTCATACGATTGATGACTAAGTCGGCAACAACTTGGAGCCCCTTTTGATAGGGAGACTCCGTCAACTCCTGTGCCAGACGTATCGCCTCATTGCAGTGCTTCTTAGCCAGAAAACGCGTTTGCTCTAGACCATGCGATTTGTGTACCAGCTCGAAGGCTCGCTCTACGTCGCCCGGTTCGCTGAAGCGACGCATTACCATTGGGTTTAGCTCGGGATACTGCAAGATAAAACATCAAACTGTTGTTAGTTATTGTAAGAGTTTTTTACCCATAGCGCTATCCTCACACTCAGGTGGGCTCGGTCTCGGGCCCGCATGCCAATGCGATCAGTCAGACACATTATCATTAGCCTCTATGGCCTCATGATACGCATGTACATGGCTAGTTTTAACTATTTAACTGGCTATCTTAGCGATTGGTACACTGCTCGCTTTTGTCACTGCTGTTGGCGTTGGCGTTAAGAGCGCTGCTTAAAACGCATTGCACGCGCGTGCTTATCGCGCTTCGCATAATAAACTGAGAGTCGTTTTTGATGTGAAATCGAAAACGCCTTACAAACGCATTTGATGGCACACGATGCATACTCCCAGCAGCACTATGATATCATCAACATCATGATTTAGCATAAAGCCAAGTTGAAAATGCACATAACTACCAATGCAAACACAGTTCTGAACAATTAGCAGATGTTGCGACTGGTATGAACATTATTTAAAATATACTTTATAGTCGGCGTGTTGTCACAGCAATGAGGAAGTCTGTCCGGGGTTTACCTTTTCGCATGCAAAGAGGACCGGCGCTGTAGCCAGGCCCAGTTTTAAGTCAGCTGCTGTTGGCTTGCCCATTTGCTCTGTGGAAGAGACAAAATCCAGCATATCGTCTACCAGCTGAAAGGCTAGACCAATATTGCGTCCATATTGAAAGGCCACCTCGGCAACATTGTCATCGGCCTGGGCGATGACGGCGGTCTGTGAAAACAAAAATTCAAAGTCAATTGCTGGCCAATCAACTGTCCAAATGGGCACAATGACAAACGCATTCAACCAAATCAATTTGCAGCCTACCAATTGCAATAATATTTGCAATTGCAATTACAATCGCATTTTGGTTGCCGGGATTACTCACCGCCTTCAGTGCATTCGCAATCAATGATGCGGTCTTCCTGTAGGTCTTGGTCAGATAGTGTGCAAAGCGCTCGTTCTCCGTTTCCCTCGAGCCGAGCTGCATGAATTCGCCTTGAACCAAATCTGTTAAAATCTGAAGAAAAAAACGTTAATTCATAACTTGTTAGCAGTTTAGTGTCATGTTTGCAGTTTAAATCTAAGTTCTTCTTGGTTAATAGGACAGGACCATAACAGAGCAACGTTGCTCCAGTCAAAAGTGCCCGACCAGCATATGCCCTGTATACAGTTTTGAATTGCCCCCAGCCCTACATATTAATTATTTATTCGTAAACTAGGTGTTTTGTCAATGGTCGACAATACAATTCTTAGAGATTACAGTCCAAAAACTTACATATATTAAGTCCGTCTATACTGATCGAAAACCTATGTATTTCTCAAATTTTATAGCCTTGGCTGTCATATTTAAATTCTCGTGATATGATTTAGAAGCGGAGCAACTTATTAATTTCAATCCGTTTTCGAGAAATGAGAGATTTATCAATAAATTATTTCATAGTACATATGTTTCGGATTCAGGACGTCGCGTTTTTTACAATTCTAAGCAAAATATTTCTTTTTATTTCTTTCCATAAGGTTTGACATTCCTTAATAACGTAAACGATAGCTGTTAAGCCAATATACATGTATATATATATACTAGCGGGTATACGCCGGCCCATGGCACCTTTAAAATAATTTCTGTCAAAGAATTTTCAGTTTGAAACCAATGCGACGGGGTGAATAAAAACTTTCATAAAACAGTTTCCGCTAATTTACCACTGTTGCGGGTGAAATTTTCCAATCGGAAATAAGTTTGAAGCAAAAATTTAAGCTTCACCAAAAATTTTTTCACCGAGGAAGATTGGATTGGATTCTAAGAAATGCAATTAAGCGCGTAACGTCCCAAAATCTTTGACCCCCATTTTCATCAATGGATATTCCATCATATGAATTTTGACAAAGATCTTTAAAAATTTTAATTGGAGCCGATCGGATGTAACCGTTTTTCGTTTGAAGAATTTCAGAAGAAGAATTACCTGTGATGATTCAACGAGTAAGTGCGTTGCATTAGGGTAAAAGCGCAGCGATATACTATTTCCAATTGGACTGCTGACTTTATGACTACACCAGCTACAATAGTATCTATAAAACTACGTTTAGACAGATAATCGAATGTGTGTGAGGCCACTTTTTCAATTTACATAAATACATATGCTTATAGATACTTGCGGATAGCTTCCGCATGGTTGACTGTTCAAATGAAAAGGGCAAACACAGATGTGCCAAATAGTTGGTGTAAATAAAATTTCATTGGGAGCAAGATGATCAGAGGGTGGATAGTGCCACACCAAAGATAAATGAATGGACATAAAATAACCGTCCGAGGGTTATTCGTTAAATAACAAAAATAAACGTAGTTTCGAATATTTAATCTGAAATCAAAATCGTTAAATTGTATATTCGACTGGGCTTTTATTACAGGTTTTTGCTTTATCGTAAGATATCTACGATCCCATCCGCCCGATCAGTTTATGAAGGGTTATAGGTCACACTGAGTACTAAAGTTTTGAGAAAATAAGAAAAGAATTTGAAATAGATATAGACACATTTATGAATGGGAGGAGTAAATATGATTTGTAAAAAAAATGTATATGCCAATCAAGTAAACGGAACAGATAAAATAATAATTGTTTAGACTTCAAATATTTTTGCTGTATATCTTTATTTTAAAATCGACCCTCGTAGCTAAGGTGGTATTTTTATTTGCACAAAAATGTTGGCGCGCCCTTCGCTTAAATTCGGTTTTGTTTGTAGTCTGTGCTTCTCGCATAACTATTTTCATTCATTCATTCACTTTGACAATTTCGCAGGCAATTGTCAAAATGTTGAGCAAATAAATGGCGGGGTAGTATTTGGTGTCTACATGATCAAAAATATATATGTACGTGGGCGCTGATTTGGTGGAAATTGTTGTAGTCGTGTTGTCGTTTGTCACTCACAGCTTAAGGAGCCCAAGGTAAGAGCTAGAGACACAGCTCGGACATCGATACGGTCATATACATATTTTTGGCCAAATCCCAGCGAATTGGCTTGTTTAATGTACATTCTTTGTTTTTTTTTTTTCTTTGCAGTTTTGCCTTAGAAGCAAAACAACATATTGGCTTTCAATGTTAACTAATTAACACATGCGACTGAAATAAGCGCGATCGGTGGGTACCATTGACGCCAAAAGCTTCAACAACAGCAACAGCAAACAACAACAACAAAAGAGCAAGTAATTGCAGTTGAGGCCTGCCTTTAAAGTAGCTGCTGAAAACATTTTTCTTTTAACCGCAAAATGAGAGCAGTCTTTTATTGTTTTTTTATTTTTTTATTTTCGAATTGCTGCACAAGTTCACTTTTAACAAAAGATATTTCCCAAACACTATTGTGACCTGGCTTTAGTTGGTTTAGTTAATTTAATCTTTGATCCTCACTTTCCACCCAAAAGCGGTGGATTAAGCAAAAACGTTTTAAATATATGTTGACAAATATCTCTGAATTTTCACAATTGTGGATTGAATTTCCAAATTATTAAAGTACGCATCCATTAAGTTTTTATTAAGAGTTTTGAAAATAAGTTTAAGGCCAATCGAAAAAACTTGAAAGTTCGTCTAACCGACAAGAGGGGTGGATTTTGCAAAAAGTGTGAGAGACTTATCGAATCAATTTGCAAAAACTTCTTTGATTTGTTTTGAACAATCGTTTTTCACGATTTTTTACACTTGCGGTTGCAATTTTTCAAAAATTCGTTTTAAACTTAAACACACTCGAACACCTCATGGAAATCAAGGCATTTAAGTCTCGTGCTATAAATCCTACAGCTGAAAAAATACTTTTGCTTATAAAACCTTTGGCAGCAACTTCTATCTTAGGGTGGACTTTGGCAAATTGTGTAACACGTATAAAATGTCGCTCAAGCACTTAACATACGGTTTTAAAGCTTAAAGTAGATCAGACGAAACTTACAACTTTCAAATATAGCTCGAGACGCAAAATAGTATGAGTCGATTTAATTTCTCACCAGCGAAAAATGGGTAAAATTTTATTTTACACCATCTAGTCATATAAAAAGAGATATTTGGTAACTTATGTTTAGTCAAACTCTTTATTTCATATATGTTTTTAATACGATTTTTAGGTTATGCTTTAATTGGATCTCACGAATTGTAATCTGCTCTTATCAGACTCCTAATAACTGCACATTTTGAAGCGTAACAGATTGGTTTAACCCACTATACAGACAGAACAATAAATACTTATTTCAGTTGAGCGATCTACCAATAATATAATGCTGTCAACGTCTTTGAAGCCGTTGAAATTATTTAGACGTGTTTAGCATATCAAATACAACAACCTGATATATTGTTGTCGTTGTACATGAACGCAAATGCTAAACAGCCAAAATATAATGCTTGGGGTTTACACAAAAAAAATCCCAAAGCAACTGCGAAACTACTTCTGAGATAAAAGTGATGTCTTGGGTTTTGCCGTAGCATATCTTATACCTGTGCACACGCGAATCTAATCTAATATAGAAATAAATATATAAGAGTAATGTGAACTTATGTAACAAGCAGCGGTAGTTTTCTACGACCAAATTAGAAATACATTTTCACGCATTGAACGTTTATTTCAATTTATCGTTATGTTCCCCGTTTCTATCGCATCGATACGTCTGTGATTGTGGTATCACCTGCAGTACTCACCCGCCCTTGTCGACGTACATACTTCTTCAACACCGTCAGCTTTTGGACGTAGAGGCCTGCGCGCAATCTAGCCCAGATTGTTGACAGCAATCACAATACCTCTTTGGCCCCATCTGCAGTTATTTCAGCTCTATCAGCTCCTATTTTGACTAATGTTGCCCCTGGAAAGTTTTTGTGACCCGGCTTTCTTCTGATAACACTTTCGATTCAGTGGCTGTTTACAATGCTAGCAAATTTTCTGCAATCATATATATATATACATATGTATATATGTATATATGTATATATGTATTTAATATCTAAGCTACTCGTGAAATAGCATTATTGAAAGTGAATGCTTCACATGAGTCGTGATCCTAAATTTTGTCCTGCTCGCATGATTGCTTACGAGTTTAACAAAAAAAAAAAAAAAAAAAAAAAAAAAAAAAACCAAGCTAGCCTTTCCCAGTCACCGTTTCTTATGTTCTAACTTCTAATATTCAAGATTGTATGGAACTAATTTTTTTGTTATTAGAGAAGTTTCTTCACATGTGCGTGAAGAGTGATTTTAATTTAGCGAACATCTCTTGGTTATAATTGATAGATTGATAACCTATTTGCTAATTTTATCCCTTATAATATTACTTCCTCTTATTCTATTCTATTATTTATACGTATTTTTCCCATTCCTTGCTACTGTCAGCTATAAATTTTCTTAAAATCTTTTCTCTCCTGGGCCTGAGGAGTTTCACTATCACTATCTCTAAATTATTTGAAAAAATAATCACTTGGACTTTGCAGCATTTCTTCAAATCAGTAGTCTTCCCTGTTCAACCTGGACTCGTTAAGAATAGGTCATATACGACCAACCTGATTGAATTCCTTGCAAAATGTGCTTTCGAGAATGCGAACTGATTCCAGTGACAGTAACTTCAGTAAGGCGTTTGAAGGTAGGACCTTAAGAGGAATGCTAAGGTTGACTACCTAAAAACATGTTCACGCTACTTCTGGTGTATCTCAAGATAGTCATCTTGGGCCTCTTTTTATAAAGGAACTCCCCCTTGTTGAATTACTTAGGTATGCAGATGATGTGACAGACATACATGACCAGATCAACTCAGCTATCAGTGCTGACCAATATCTACTTTATGTTAAATACATTTGCACAAAGCGATTAATCCATTTCGATTAATAAGTACCCAAGCTTGCTTTTGATTCTTCCCAATATAATTTTAGTATTTCCATTTTGACTTTTTTACGAATACGGGCTATAAAAACGTGAAGAGAAGGCAAACTACAGGCTAAATATTTGTAGCAATGCTGCTAGCTTCAAATCAGCTTGATTGTGTAAGTGACGACTAATTTGATTGCGCTGACTGACTGAGGCTAGCTCCTATTTTTCTGACTCTTGCTATTGAATGTGAAATTGTTAGCTAGCATTTCGTCAATTTGTGACATTGCTGCGAAAGTGTTTTGCGTTTGAGAAGTCTGCGTAAAGGTCTGTAATTTTGTAAATCGATTATATATGCCGACAAACAGCATTAAATAGAGTGGACGTGTTTAAATATTTTCATTTAATACAAGTATAAATAATATGTACATATGTAGCATAGTAAATCTGTGCAAGTAAATTGAACAAAAATAAAGTGAAGGCTATAATGAACTCGCGATTGGTTGCCCTTCGCCTTTGCCTTGGACCATTCCAGGGTTCCAGGAAGTAAAATCGAGCAGCCACGTTGATTGTGTACGATAACTGAACAGGTTTTTCCCATGGATACAAAGAAGTCCCGAACAAAACGAACAACTTTCTTAATTTAAATATGTATCTCTATATATATATATATACTAGCGGGTATTGCCCGGCCTTGCCCGTGAAACGTTTTGTGTTAAAAATTATAGGTGTTTCCATTCCACTAACTACACACCCGTGAATAATTGAAAACTCATTCCATCTTGAACTCCACAATATTTAAAAATATGTAAATATATGTATGTAAAAATATGTATTGTAAAATATATAAGAGCTTGAATAAAAAACCAAATGTTGGAATCGGAGATTTCCGCCCTAATTAGTCTTGTGGTTAGTGTCTTGAGACCGATTAAAACCTAAAAAGTAAAACTTTTTCACCAGGTGAAATCTTTGAATCGCACTCTTTACCGAGACAGCTTTTGTTTTGCGAAAATATTAAACACGTTTCAAATGATTTTTCATATAGATCCTTTGATGGAAATGTGTGCGTTGATCACCAATCAGTCAGTCAGTCATTCAGGACAAGCAATTTACAAATAGATATTTTTGTTCAAACTGCGTGCGAAATTCTATACAGATCTGTGATCTGAGAACCCTAGATACTAAGCACATGTACAGGGCTTTTAGATATTGAATACCCCGCAGACATACAGCAGAACTGCAGCATTTGTAAAACTTGAGTCCATTTAAAATAGGCAGAACGGGTATAAAGTACAATAAACGATTTTATCATTTGTATTCGATATGACCGCCCATCGATAAAAGTGGATTTTGAGACACGGTTTTCAAGCATAACTCGAAAATTATAAGATTATAAAATTACAATTTTGCCTGTACAGTTAACATATTTTACTTTTTGTATATCTTCCTTCATTTTCCCATGTCGCGCACTTCCGTCTGCACCTCTTAATTTTTCAATATTTTAATTCGTCTTTAAATTCACATTTGGCTCATACATTAGATTCACATCTGGCCGACTATGGCGAATTTATTGCCAGAAATAGATGCACAGTAGTATGAAAATCTTAATCTTCCTAAATCACTAAAATTGAATCTCAAAATCAATTTACATCGAATTATTCGATAGAATATATTTTTCAAATTTAAATTCCATAATTTTATATTTTCAGAGAACGACACGGACATGGGTAAATAGACTCAGTTCATCGCCCCGACCCCAGCATTTTTACAAAGTAATGGGATTCAAACCCGGTTCCCGTTTTTAAGTAGTTACAAGGTTATTTGGTGTTTGGATAAAGTGGATTTAACTTACTTGACTCAATACGATCGTCACATCATCGCTGCGCAGACGCGATATCATAATCGAGGCAATCGACAATATGTAATCACCAGCCATTGTGACCTGTAAAGACAATGACGAACATGGAAATCAAGTGTATAGAGGCCCCAAAAGTCATATAAATATATAAGAGTACAGTTAAATAATGTTTCGACAAAACCAATTTGCTGGGCAAGCAATGGGGATATGGAGCAAGCTGTTGATCACATCGAACTGAGAAATGTTAATTATTTCTTCGGATAAGCGCTCGTGTTGGCATTCAAAATTATGTCCAAATCCAAATTTAATTTGAACCTGTGAAACTGAAAATTTCAAATCGGCTAGTGGGAAAGGCAGTCTATTATTATACGGCCTCTGATTTAAGGCCTTGCAAATGATGCAACATATTGACAAAGTCTCAATAAAGTTTAGTCCATTGATGGCCAAGTCGGAGTCGCGTGAAATCATTGAGTCAACAATTTGATCATTTTCGGTGTTATTCGTTTCAATTGGCAGCCTGCAAACAGTTCGTTGCAACTAATCGCGCAGTCGAACAAAACGCATATTTTAGCTGATATCAATGGCTTACCTTTTTGTGATTCCATAGAGCATTAACGCTGGGCTTGCCGCGCCGAAAGTCCGACTGATCGATGACATCGTCGTGTACTAAGCTGGCCGAGTGGACCATCTCGGAGAAGAGGGCTATCTGTCGTTGCTTGTGTACTAATTGGCTGTCAAGGGTACGTCAATGGGTAAATATAAATTTTTAATCAGTATGTATGTAGTTATAATTTGGCTTTAATTGTTGTTCATAGACACCAGTAGAATGCGCACATTTCGCAAAGGTCTGCTAATCATTACACTGCTCAACAAAAATGTGCCACTAAGGCAGATAGTTAGCTTACTTACTGTGATTCGTTGTTCAGATGATAATTCAATGCCTTGGCCATCAGCATGGTCACCATAGGACGCAGCGCCTTACCCTGGCCATCAAAGTAGTAGCATGCTATGGTATCCAATTCTGACTGCGATGTTCCCGACTGCAGCAACTGTAATGATTAATTGAGGAGAAGATAACCAAAAACTTGAGATTTGACATATAATAATTATTAAATATTAATAATAATAATAATAACCACAACTCTGAGGTTTGAGCATGGGTTTTAGATTAAAATAGACTATTTCAATATATGTTGATATTCACAGTTCAAGAAAGATCTTTAAAAAAAATAAAAAACGGTTTAATGTATATACAAATTCGCACAGTGTAGAAAATACCCTAATGTCATTATGGCTTACAAAATATTTCTTGGCTGTAAGCAATAATTCAAACAAAAAATAAAATGTGAATTCATTATAAATGGTTTCATGAAAAACTTGCTTTGAACTGATTTTAGTGTCGCATGTCATGTAAATTATTTGCTTCACAAAAGTTTTAAATGCACAAAAGAAGTTACTTAAAATGTGCAACAATTATTTTAAAAATGTTTAAATGATTATTTATAAGCAATTGTTATATTAGATTTACGTTACTCCTATTTAAGCGAAGCCGAAGGAAAAATATTTGCTCACAAATAATTATACTTAAAAAACGTACTCATTAAAAAAAAAAAAAAAAACACATGCCATTACAATCTTGATCTATGTACATATTTTTCTGTCTATACTTACGTCTCTCACATCGTCGTAGAAATACTTTAGCTCATCATCGAGTATTATATATGGATCAATTTGTATTTCTCTCACGGGTCCAGCCGGTTGCTGTGTGTGAACGGAGCTCTGTGTGCGTAAACTCTGCATTGATTGGGGCGAGTACTGTGCGTTGTTACTGCAGTTGTGTGAGTTTTGCTGCGGGTTGAAAAAAAAAAAACATAAGAACAGTGGCAGTGCGATTAGCGAATTTTCCATAAACGCTGCAATTAATAATAAAGTGTGAAAATTACAGGAGTTAAAAATCGCTTGGATAAACGGTCATAACTCCCAAAGGCAGCAGCCAAACAGCATACTACATTCGAACATTAAAAAACTGTTTTTGAGTCACTTAACAACTTTCAATTGCTGGCAGCAGCACTAACGAGTTTTTGTTGCTGCCCCAAAGCATGTGGAACCAAAAGCAACTTTTTTTTGACACTTATATTAGACGACAGCAGCAAGATTAATAACTGGAAAATTACAGCGGCAAATCACCAACAAATTAAAGTTTATTATTTAGCGCTCTCGTCACGACTCTTGACCTTGCCGCCAAGTTCAACTGTGCCTACATATCCTTTTGTTTCCGCACAACAACGCGTCGCGCCGAAGGCCGCACGGGACTCAAGTGTTGCCAATAAAACCTTTTTCCGGACTCATATTTCATTTAATACCCTGAACCCATTGAGAACGAATAAAATGGGTATGATGGTTTTGTGTCAATGCATTTAGCAAGTAGGATGAGGCACATTAAGAGCTGGGTCGAGTGATCTATAGCTATCTGCCCATATGTATGAACGCGTATAAGTTATGAGACAAAGTTTTGATACTGAAAGACTAGTTTGCATAGAAACAGAAAGACGGACATGGCGATATCAAATCAAATGTTGTACAGATCAATAAAATATATACCTTATGGTGTCACAAATGTCTCATTCTATAATAGCAAGGGTATAAAATCACACATTTTGGTATATACATACATATGCACACATTTGGATGCTACACTTAGCGTTGAAAATTTCATAAAGATCGGACAACGAACTCCGAATCGATTCACGAAAGCATATCCCAATGTGGGCCAAAAAAAAAACCGAGTCGGAGCCTTTGCTTATATTAGACATAAGGCGTGCGTGCATGTGCTTTGGTGTTTGTGTGTATGTGGAATTTTATTTGAGAGAAAGTTACGTAAATATTAACTGTAATATTTGGAGTTACAAAATATCAGTTCAAATCGTTCGATCAATTCCACGTCTTTAATTGCTTTTTGCCAATCTTCCTTCTTCGCCGATTTCGGAACCCTGCTTTTTTTTGCTCTTTTTTGATGGTTGAATTACTATTTCTCGTATAAAGTAATATATTTTAAAACATTTAGCAAGTACATAGTCAGCATAGGAATAAAAATTTTTATACACAGACTGTGCTGTAGCTGTACATTATCTTGGCTAAAAATCGATATTTAGCAATTTTAAATAAACGTGGATGGTACATATGAGATATTTCCACTTTAAAGTCATCTTAAAGATAATGGACGACAACACTAGATCGACCCGGCTGTTGAATCGTACTAAGAATATACATGTACACTTTATGGATTCAGAGAGAACTTCTTCTGTTTGTTCCACACATTTGCTAAAACCAACGAGATCTATTTTTCAGTTTTTACATATTAGTCCTTGCCCATAAACAAATGAGACTGCATCTCAGAGACTTAAAGAGCTAGGTACTTAGTATTTTAAGAAAAGGTGCCTTCCTGGTCGAAAAATATATAATATAAGCATAGCGGTGCTTAGAAACAACAACAATGAGCTAGAAGAGTGAAGAAGCTAAGACCATAGGTTGTAGTCTTAAACAGAAAACGGATAGCAAGGACAGAATTTGTAGAGTGCTTTATTCCTTGGCGAGTCGATTGTTTTGATTGTTGTTGTTGGTTCTAATGAAAAATGTTTTGAAGTTGTCATTAAATTTCGGGCATCGGCAGAAGTAGCTGCAGACAACCGGGTGATGTGTTTACAATTTGTGTTTGCATTTTCGGTATCTTGCACTCTGTCTCTTTATTACTCAATGCTCAATGGGGTTACTCGTTGCCATTTATTCTGTTTCGATTGTTCGGCTGTTTGACGTATCTATGCATTGTATGGTTAGTGCTAAAACGAATGTATGTACATAAACCAATATATGTATGAATATACGTACATACATATAATGATATTCTTCCGTAAGCTTTAATGAAGGCATTGATTTTCGAAGAACGAAATTATGTTTAGCGGAATTAAACATTTTATTGTTTTAATCGAACACAAAATACATTTTCTTGACCTTCATACATATGTATATTCCAATTTTTAATGGGTGTACGAATATAACTAGCATTATTAAAAAAAAAGTATTATTTATAAAAAGAAAATTATTGCTGTTGGACTTCAATTCTTGGTACACAAACGCATAAATGCTTATATTCATACACCGAATAAGTGTATGTGCGTAACCTTCTACCACAAAAATCATATATGTATATTTCTTACTTTTTGCTGTCTGAGCATGCGAGTGTGTTCATCCTTTTTCCAATTTTTCAACTCTACATGTTCTATGGTTAGTTGAATAGCAACCTATGAGATTGTCTAAAATAGCAGGATTTCTTTCTCGGGCTGCGCGAGCACTAGCTCTTATAGGTTCTAAGACCCTTGCATTCATATACATATATGGACGGATGGACAGAGAGACGGACATAGCTAGATCGCCTTGGCTTGTGATGCTGATCAAGAATATATATGCCTTATTGGCTCGGAGATGATTCCTTCTGACTGCTTCATACATTTGTAAAAATACTTTATACCCTTTTTACCCATTTTGAATGGGTTTAGGGTATAAATGGGTGGGTCAAGCGAGCACCTGATTTTTACGGGCAATAACAGGAGACACATTCAAAAGTTCAAGGGTTAACACATATAGTTCGAAGAAGCCTTCTGTATCATACATATATAGCAAATCAATGTACCCAATTTTCTACCTACTTTCAATGGGTTCAACAACCTTGCAACCTTTTTGTCTCTTTTGGTATATAATCAGCATCACTCGAACACATCTATTATTAATATTAGCTCAAAAATTTAATGAACATTAACTAAAGTTGTAAACATATTGTATTTCTTTAAATTAAAAGATCTTTTGATTTTTTTTTTGCACTTTTCTTCTTGTTTTTTTTATTCCCTTGTATGGAATTATGCAACGCTGTCGCTATTTGGCATATTTACATGACTTGACTATGGCTATGTGTATGTTTGCTTCTTGTATTTGTCAGTCCGAACGACTGTCAATACAACTGGTGCGCATGTAAACACGATAACATGTAAATTTTATGTTGCCAACTGTCAACAGCTCGCGGAAAGCTGCTGCCAAACGGAGGCAACTTTTAGAGCCAAAGCCAATTGAGCTGCAAATATTTGAGTTAAGTTATGTGATTTGATGTGTTGTGTTGTGGTAGGCTGGGCGTGGCTATTACGCATCTCTGCAACCGCAAACAAGCACAAGCATGTTGACCCAGATGCATGCAGATCCTGCAGCCCAATGGCCGTCATCGATGGCCATAAAGTTTAACGCCCTTGGCAACTCTACCTATCCGGTCCGCGTCTTCAGCGTCATAAACATTATTATAATTGATACTCTTTGGTACACGTACACGTGTGGAACAACACAGCGCATCAACTGGTTTGATGATAACTTTTCATTAATATTGATTGTAAAATACAACAAAAAGCGTATACATATATTGAACGCACATATATATTTATATATAAATATTGACCATCGCTGGCCTTTGTGTTCATTCAAAATATCTCACTCACTTTGGGCTTGTAATGACCCAGTTTCATATTAAGTAAGAGTGCACATATGTATGTACATACTCAGATAAATATGTATGTATGTGTCATCAATATGTTCGAAGCTTAGCGGTTTTGAAGTAGAAAGCGATGCCATCGTCGGCTATCCAAACTTGACTGTTACAAAATCGACGCATCAAATTTAAAAACCCAATTAAATTCAGCTCGTGAAAAGTTTCATTTTCAATATGTGCGTTAAATTAAAATTAGTACAAAGCTAGCTTAAAGCGTAAGCTACTTCAATATACATAGATGTGTATACAAATCAAAAACAAAAACCTAACATTCGTTTCATTTCTTTTTTACATTTTTGCTTTCCAGTTAAGAAACGTGAAAAAATGCATTTAATTGTGGCCGCTTTTGCGTTTGCAAACTTCGTTGAATAATTTATACACTTTTAAATTGGTTTTTATGGTCAGTGGCCAATGACCAAACAGCCAGCCAAGCAGACAACCAGGTGGCCCACCAAGGGCCAACAAAATTCGCGGATATTACTTATCACCTCTGCCTCTGGTGATGAATATGTCAAATTGCTGCTTGACTCTAGGAGTTTTTAAAGAATCTTGTCACTTCAATAATACTGTTACCAATATAGATCTGTGGCGCTGGAGTTGCTTCAGTTTTCTGGTTGGCATTGCGTGCTACACAAATATTGTAGGAAGCACAAAATTCGTCGCACTTGGCTGCCACTGGCGGGCAGAGGACTTTGACTGACTTCAGTTTATGCGTTTCTTATATAAAAGCAGAGAGAAATATTTAAAGCAATATGAATTGCACTCATTGACATGATAGGAAATCGGACTAATATGATGTAAAGATAATGCGTTAGAATTGGAAATGGCAAATGCTATATCGTTGCGCCTTTTATATATTTTTAAGACAACGATTATTATCGTTTTACAAGAACCAACCTGACCAAAAGACGGATCAAAATTATAATAACCAGTACGAATATATATTATATTCAGCTCAGTTTAAACTAATTATATTACTTCTGTGAAACACAATAACGAAAAGACAATAAAAAGGGAAAGCTTCTTCGGTTTGGTTTGCCCAAGGCCAAAACCGCAATAGGTCGATTGGTGACAAACAACTATTGTCAGTTGGCTGACTAATGCCAATACGATGAATCTTTTATCTGTAAATTTTCGCGCAGACGCATAAGATTAAAGTAATTTCGATAATTGTTTCGAAAACGAAGTGTATGCAAAATATGCGAGACGCTTAAAAACATTCACAGCACCAAAGGTGCGAGGCCTGAAACACAAATTGAGAGGT